AAACAATCGACAAGAAAAAAATGTCCTCGAAGGAGAGGACATTATTTATTGTAATGAATAGGGATAATAAACCCTTTAAAGCAGGGTTCCTCAAACTCGGTCCTGGAGGGCCGCTGTCCTGCAGAGTTTAGCTCCAACCCTGATCAAACCTGTGAGTTTCTAGTGGTCCTGAAGACCTTGATTAGCTTGCTCAGGTGTGTTTGATCAGGGTTGGAGCTAAACTCTGCAGGACAGCGGCCCTCCAGGACCGAGTTTGAGTAACCCTGCTTAAAAGGTACAATATGTAGGATTTTTGCAGTAAAATATCCAAACCACTAGACCAATGTTATATATTTTGTTTAGTTGATTACCTACAATATCCCAAATATTTCCAACTATTTGAAAATCGTGAGAAAATTGCGATTTTAACCAAGGAAACGGGACGTGTCAGCAGGGGTGAGGAGTCGCCAGTCAATGGCGTCATATCCGCGTTACCCTCGGTTTCCGCTCGTACTGCCATAGTAACCATGGCGACAGACGTGGACAACTGGGTTATTAGCAGGACGCTCACGCTTGTTGTTGTTTTGTTCAAACATTATGGACCATGGCAAGCAGACTTTGAGACAAAAAGAGGACTAGAACAAAGATCAAAATCTTTCGAGATGCCGAGAGCTCCACGTCCGCGACTAACTTCGACTTGACAGAGACGGGAATGTTCCATCATGTACTTTAATATTAGACAGGTGAGCCAATGTACATAAAAATAATCAATGTTATTTAGTTCAATATGATTAAATGTTAGACTATGATCGGTATGTTATTCTAATGTTGATCTAGGTTACTGCTAGTCTCATACAGCCAACAACCTAACTAACAACATTCAACACACTCAAATGCCGTTTAGTGTGATAGTGTAACTGTTAGACTAGAGCGAGTGAAACAGCGCTGCGTTACCTCAAGTTTAATTCGTCTAATAAACTGTGAGTAACTTATTAATTCAGCACTTGCGTGTAGTTCGGTAGAATGAAATGTCCTTATTCCTTTATATCCGTGGCGCTTGTATACGTCTCTCGTTAGCAATCGCGCCCTGCTTCATAAAAACATCACTGTATTCACTCATCCATGAAAGATCCATCAGCTTGACGACAAGATCCATAATTCCGCTTGATGCTTTGCGTCATCGGTATACGCCTTTGTTATTGTAAGAGATTAGTGACCCCTGGTGGCCAAAAATTGCATACTGTACGTTTAACAGATGGCTATGAATCTGAGAGAGAAAAAAAAAAGAAAAAAGAAAAAAAAGAGTCGAGAAAACGAAAACATCGGAACTGGTAAGAGACGATTGACAGAACATAAAATAAGTTCCACTATAGCTAAATATGCTAGTAGCTAACAATAAATAAAGTGTTCATCTTGTTGCTACATTTTCTCTGTGTTATAATGGACTATTTAGTGCAGCTTTTAAGATAATCTACAAATAAGATAAATCAAAAAGGCTATTTTATGTCCATATATTTGCCTAGCCGTGCAAGATAATTCAAACAGCTGGTCATTTAAGTAAAATAACGCCCTTTTGTAAATACGTTGTCCTTTACACGCACGCACGCACACACACACATATATTATTATTATTATAAATATATATTATTATTATTATTAATGTAGCCTACTGCGCATGAACTGCCAATCGGTTAGGCTAGCTATATAAAGTTTTTATTAATGACTTTACTCAAAACACAAATTTATCAGCATTTTCAAAATAACTGCGAAAAGGTAGGCAACATGTTTTACAGAGAGAGTGAGTTTTTTGAAGCGTTAACACTGCATTGATCAGTCCGGTACAATGAAGGCATTCATGCATACTTACTACTTAAATCCATGCCCTGCGACCACATAAGATCTTCAGTCGCGTTACTTTCCATTGGAGATCGTCTTTTCTGAAGAAGTAATGCAAAAACGCCCACCGAGATGTGCGCTTCTCCACTACATTCCCAATCATGTGCATCGCCCCCACACTTTCTGACTTTTTCTAAATATTCCTTTCCCGGCTGGGACGCTTTTTATCTTGTCTCTGAACATGCCCTGACGTCCCTTCAGTGAGTCACCGTGCACTGAAGCCAGGATAAAAGTGAGGCTAACCCTGAGTTTGTAGGGGATACTTATGCAATTCTAAATAAATAAACAAGTAACAAGGCTTTTGGAAAGAGAGAAAAAAAAGGTAGGCTGAACAAACACAAAGAGCCCACATATTTTAGTTCTTCAGGTTAATATTTTATTATGTGATCAACCTGCTTTTAGTGGATTGCCACATACAGTAGGACATGCTTTTGTATGTATTCTTCCGCTAGACTTATTTATTCTTTTCTTTTTCTTTTTTATTGAACAAAGATCACAGGGGATACATGCAAAAAATACAGGATAAGAAACTACTTATTTATTCTTGCATATGCACACTTCATATTTTACACAATATATATATTTTTTTATTCTTCATTTCTTGTTCTATCAAACATTTCTTGTTTTATTGAATGTAAAATCCATTGTTCTTGTGCATATGGCAGGAAAGTAGTCTACTTCCTGTATGTACATTTAGCCATATACGCCGGACATTTAAAAAATTCAATCAAAACTGGTTGTGCCCTAAATAAAATCAAAGAGCTACCAGTCACAACCTGTATTGATAGTGATATACCACATTGAACGTGCTTACTGATATCAGGTAATAAAATTAAAATATAAAAAATGAATATAGGCTAAAATCAAGGGTATTTTATCTAATCAATTACAGTTTTTGCTCAATTCTCAAAACAATAAGTTCAGATCTCTGAACAATAAGTTTCTTGTTCAAATCAAATTCGAATTTCTTATTGATTTGAACAAATTGCATGTGTTTTGGCACATGTGTTCAAAAGAGTGCACAATTGTCTAATTTGCACAATAATACACATGTTTATTAAAACTGATGAGTTGATTCTCAGTGAAATTGTCAAACTCTTCACAACTTCTAAACATTCTTTCATCATGTGAGCCTTCACATGCAAAACAATCCTTTCAGTGATCAAAATCTGTTCTAAAAATGTTTTCTAAATTGGCAAATGGCCTTCCGTTGTAATGAATAGGAATCACAATCAATCAACTAATGAGTTTGCTGACCGCACAATCACTAACATTTTTGAACATGCAGGAACACTCTGAACAGCAGCAACTATCAGTGCTATATAAATACATTTGTATACGTACATTTATTTTTGTAGAAATGTGAAAACTGAAAATTCTTGTCTTGGAAGAGCAATAGGAAGATATGTATGCTATGTGTTAGAGAAATACATAATAGAGTGTGTAAACATAAAAAAAGCACCAGAGAATTTTCAGTTTACAATATAACACATTTTTGCAAAAATAAATGTAAATACAAATGTTCATTCTTTTGTGTACGACAGTATTGACTTTTCCCAGTCAATTTTTACCTGCTGTCTGAATCTGTATTTAAAATGCTGTGATACACAGACAAAACGGACATTCTTGTATAGTATAGTTGGTGTCAACAAAAATGTATTTTAAAAAAAACCATGACATTTATTTAGCAAATATTTCCATGCTAAAAATACATTTTATTGACACAATAACATGGATTAAATGTTTTGGGTGAGTAACTACATTTTGCAGACATGCAAGAGTTCTGATGTTCCAGCAAACATTGAGACATTTGCACTTACAGTTTAGAGAATGTTAAGACCGTTTCGAAAAACGTGCCCCAAAGCGATTGAGAAAAACTGTATAAAATATTGAGATGTAGTCAGTCTCCCTTTTTGGATGGTAACAGCCTATAATGATACAAATATGTTTAAGGATCTCTATTTTTAATTGTCCAGGGCTAAAAGAAAGCAGGTGAATCATCAGAGCTGAATGAGTGTGCTCAGGCGGCCTACTTTCATGACCAGCCTGTGTCTCTGTCCCTTTGCGAGTTACCCTAAATATTTGTTTTATTCAGCTCCAAGCCTCCAACATAGCCTATCTCTTTGCCATATTAAACACACACACACACACACACACACACACACACACACACACACACACACACACACACACACACACACACACACCACTTAAGACCAGCTTCAACTGTAATTTCAATTCACATTTTTCAGTCTTAGCACATCACCTGTTTGCCTGATGTTCAAATGCATGCACAGTGCCGAAGTATATATCTTCCTAGCAACACACCTGTTGTCTTTGGATTTGGCGAATTGTTGTAAACATGAGGAGATCATAGCGGATTCACTCTTTCTTCGCTGCAAATGAGAACGCTGAGCCAGAATGGTGATGGTTATGTTTGAATAGGCTATGGGAGAGTGTTTGTTCTGAACATTATAGCACACACTGAAATTAAAGGATCTCGCCACCCTCTCTCTTTCCCAGTGCCGAAACAGTCTTACGCTCAGTCACCCTGCAGCAGCCCACAAGTCACAGCTGTGAAAAATCAGGATAGGGCTAAAAGCCTTGGAGTCGCTGTGATCACGACAAGCTCTGAACGGCAGCATCAGTAATGATTACAACACAACACATAGGCCTATGTGGAAAATGTCAGATAGATAGATAGATAGATAGATAGATAGATAGATAGATAGATAGATAGATAGATAGATAGATAGATAGATAGATAGATAGATAGATAGATAGATAGATAGATAGATAGATAGATAGATAGATAATTCATTTTATTTATGGGTGCCTTTCAATACACTAAAAGACACCTTACAAACAATAAAATACATGAACAATTTTAAATATGATTTTTTTATTATTATTATGATAGATAGATAGATAGATAGATAGATAGATAGATAGATAGATAGATAGATAGATAGATAGATAGATAGATAGATAGATAGATAGATAGATAGATAGATAGATAGATACAAGTTAGTGAATGAACAAAAGCATTTACTCAAAAACGTAACATTCTGTCAATCAGCACTATATGATGAAGACAAATGCGCCATTAATGACGGGAAATAGGAACATAAGTGGAGTCAAACCCGCTATAACTAAACCAGTGACGGAACCCGCATTGCATCACAGAATCAATTCCTGGCCAGTGCACGCGCCCCAGGCTCTGCCGGCTTAATTACTCCTTTACCTTTCAGCGCGTGCTGTGCACACTAATCCGAACCGTTTAAGTGATGCATTAACACCGTCAAGTATGTGTTAAGGAAAGCGCTCGCTTTTCTTTTCTTTTTTTTCTTTTTTTTTTTGAAGTTTAGCTTCCAGTCTGAGGCAAATTCAAAGACGAGCGAGAGGCATCAGCAACAGGGCACTGACAATTCACCGGCGTGGACAATTATACAGAAAGTATCTCGATCATCAATCGAGCAATTGGTACCGAACATCACTGACGTCATTACTGGATATTGATTGCGTTGCTCTAATTGTGTGGGGATTTCTTAACATTTTTGCGTCATTAAATGGAGCGGCGTAGGTGACGTTTGGACTGTTGCGTTCGAGAGGAGCTCTTACTCAAGACTAAAAGCCGGCGCGGAAAAATGTAAGTAGCCGCCACAGACGAAATAGCAACCTGTTAAGGTGTCCAATATTGCTGCTGATAAACTGCGCTGTTAACGCGCGTCAGAAGTCATACAACTGCCATCAAAACAATCTGTTTAAAGCTTTTGCGTGTCATTCTTATTCCGAAGGACATTTAATCGACGTGGTTATCTTGTGGGGCTCAAGGGCACAGTGTTATTCGTGCAGGGAGTTGAACATAGCCTAGGCTACGTCTGATTTTCTTGTCTAGATCCTCTAACGAGGACAAATAGGCTTAATGTAAGATGATGTCTTAATATCTCTTTCAAGAAACCCCGTGGATTCAGTCGTTTATGCTTCTAGATCCAATGTCCCTTCAAGGTCTTTTCTTATGTTGAAGGAATCCGAAGAGCAAAGGAAAAAAAAAAATTGATATTGCATCCACATAATTCAAAGCAGAAATCAATACCTTCACCTCTGCATTCATCTTAAAGGACAAATTCACTTCACAGTTCAGAAGTGGGCAAAATCACATAACTTGGAGAGAAACTTTATCTTCTTAACTTGTTTGATGTGGCATCATTTAGAGTTGATAAATCAATCAGTCAATTTTGATACAAAATTGAGCAAATCTATGGCAGCTGTGTTTACTAGAACTTTACCATAAAAATACTCTTGACAATATTACAAGCATTAGGCTACATGATGGAATATTGGTGACCATATTTCACAATTCCTAAATGTGTGTCATTAAATGTTATAATGTTATTATACCAGCCTATTTGAGCTATTAAAATCGGTTTGTTCCAGTAAACGGTGCTGATAAGATTCAGATAAGGCCACATCATGACTTGAAGTTCAGGAACATTGGCCTCTCCAGCAGCAGTGACTAATAATAACTTAAAGACAGAGAACAGTGTTGCCCACACAAACACAAAACACAATCAGGGAAACATGACACTAATGTAATGCAGTAAACATTATAACTAAATAACAAAAAAGCTACTTAAACACCTCAATGCACATAACTAATAGCAAAAAAAAAAGATTTTTTTTAATGAAATTAAACAAATGTGATTGATCATGCAGGGAATTCTGGGAATGTCCCCTTTCATCAAAATATATAAGACAAATAAACATTAATTTGAGAACTAAAATGTAATATAATTTTAATCTCCATTTTTTTTTTTTTTTTACAATATTACATGCATTTTTTTTTTTAACAATTTATTGTATATGCAAATAACATGTTAATTAGTTAAATGTACAATCAATTTATAGCATTTCTCCATTCTTTTTTCTGTTCAAATTACAAAAAAACAAACACAGTGTGGTTGTTTATTTCCATGCTGAATGTATTCACACTGATAGAACTTTGAATGAGCTAAAACCACTTTGTTGCAGGCCAGTATTGAGCATGCTATTGAGTTGAATGCACACCAGGTCTTATTCCCTGTCTGGGATGGTAATGTGTATGCATGTAATCTAATATCGACCCTTGTTTCACACCCCCACTACGGATCGACGTCCCAGTTTCTCACCCATACCCTTTATTTAAATAGTCAATGAGGAAGATGTTCTTTTTAACTCTTCTGAGCTTCCACAATTCATTAACATTACTGAAAGTTTTGTGGAAGATGCATCGAATTGGGACAGTGTGTTAGCGCTGAGGGCGTTGGAACACCCAATTCAAAGAAATGTGCTGTGGGTGAGGATGCTCACCTGTCCAAATCATCTTTGTATGATGTGTGTAGCTAATTGAAGATGGTTTGCACAATGCAGTCTGATGTACAGGTATAAAGAAAGAAATAACATCTCATGTTTATTTACTTATTAATCTGAAAAAGCTATTATGGTCATCCAAAAATGAAAATTGATTTCCAAACATTTCTTTCTTCTGTGGAACACATACACAATATATATATATATATATATATATATATATATATATATATATATATATATTGAAGAACGTTCTGGTTCAAACAACATTGGAACCCACTGACTTTCATTTAAAACTTTTTTTTCTTCAAAATATCTTCTTTTATGTTCCACAGAAGAGAGAACTTAAAGAGGACACGAGGGTGAGTAAAGGATTACAGAATTTGTATTTTTGGGTGAACTGTCCCTTTAAAAAGAAATAGCTTATATCTGTGAAGAACTGTTAAGCAGTGACTGCCAGATATGACAGTGTTTGCAATCATCTTTTTGATGACCGCTGCACAAACAAAGACATGTTGTTTCTATCAGCAGAGACAGGGTTGTGTTATGTATAAGTATGCATGGATGGAAGAGAGAGAAAGAGCTTGAACACATACACAAAAACACTGCAGTGTTGCAAGAAAACTGTCAGAATTCACAGTGATGCATTCATATTTCATCCCAGCCTGTCCTCCTGCTGTTCCCTGAGCTGGCAGTGGACCTGTTACTGAGCCCAAAAGCAGCCTACCAGTTTCTATCTCTGTAGGGAAATCTGTTTAACAACCTATTGGTTTCTTTCCCTCTCTCCAAGGAATTCTGTCTTTCATCCCGTGAAGCCTTTGAGCTGCTCGTGGGCCGAGCTTGAAATGCAGCCTATGCATCTATATTTAGTATTTACTGTAAGCACAAGTAATGTTAATGAGCAGTGTAATGAACTGCCCACTGGCTCTCCACTGGTTTTAAAAGAGAGGAAGAGGATGTTCTGTGTTATTACAGATCAGTTCATTTCTCCTTATTGGCAAAAGAAAGGGTAACAGGTGCTTCCCAGTTTTTCAACTGAAACCATTTAGTAGGCTATTTTCTTTCATTGAAATAACAAATTTTAATATTAACTTTCAATGAACTGAAAACAGTCTACTTCTCTTTCTGCCTTACTGGATTGCATGGTTCGTTTAAAACTTAGTCATAAAACAATAAAACAGCCTGATATACGTAATCTACGCGTTAAGTGCTTGAGTTCACGGTAGTGCAAAATAGCGATTAGTCACACAGCGGGAGAAATTATTGATTTTTGACAGTCGAGTCAACAGGTATGGAGTGTAGTAACCCCTGTCTTCCCACACAAAGTGGGTTTTCAGCGCGTTATGACATTTATTGCTGCGCGCGCACGGGCACATGGAAGAGTTCATTCGACAGCTGGATGAGCTGGGCTGTTTTCTGCGGAGAAAGACCTGTTACTCAGTTCATGCAGCTTGTTGAATAGCGTGCCAGTGATGCGGAGGTGATCTTGTGGCGTTTGGGAATACCGTATCGCCTTTAAATACTTAATTCCCGCTATAATCAACGTTATGGCGCGAGACCGAGCCCAACATCGCGTGCTTCAGTACCAGCAAACTCTGGTGAGTATTGCTGGTCAACGTGATTGTTTTGTTGTTGTTGTTTTTTATCGCGAAACGAGCTGTTTTATCCTTAGAGGGACGTGGAAGTATGATTGAGTAAGTGTAAAACTGTGGATTTATTTAAGTTAAATAAATTGTTTTGCTTAAGTAGAGGATATTACATCAGGCTAAGTTGAATGGCTAGAATGTAATAGCCTAATAAAATTGTTGTAGGCCTGGAGTGTAAAATACGGTTGATATTGTGTGTTTCTCAACATTTGTATCAAACATAGGCTATATGCCTTTTCCAGCTAATTAGCAACTGTATATTGATTGGCTATAGGTGGTAGAATAATTCTGTGGAGTCCACAATAACATTTGAAGCAACTAATGGCATCATTTGCATTGAGTTCTAACAGATTTCAAGTTTAAGGGCATCATCAAAGTCCTCCCTTCATTTCGCTTCATCCCCTCAGTGCCCCTCCTCCTGCTCTCGCACTTGTGGACTAAATGTAGATCCATCCACTCTGCATATTAATTGACTCATGCACCAGTTCCCCCCCCCCCCCATCTCTGTCACATGATGATTGACAGCTGAACCCTGGAGCACTTGACAGGGATGTCTCTATATTCAGGCAGATGTGAAGAGGAGGAGAACTGTAAAAGGACACGTTCAAACGGTTGGTATGGGGTACAGTCTTCTCATTCTGCACCAAAATCCCCTGCTTCACCCCTCCCACTAACATCCATCTATCTGAGCAAGTTTTTTTGCACTGTTATGACAAATGTGTTTGCATAATGAAGGTAGGCGTGAAGTGGCCGCACTCGGATCCATGTGTTGCATTCGTGTCTTGTCTTTTTGAGTTCAGGCTATTTCTGAGCAGCCTTTCTCCCTGCAGGGCCAGACGATGTGTTCCACAGCATCTATGTGTGTGATGAATGAAACTGGGACATTTTTTTCTGGCCCTGCTTTCCTTATCGGCGAGAGGATCAATACAGCGCTATACAAAATGGTGGCTGGAGACTCACGGTTTCATTGCCTCTCTCAACACCTTTCCTCTTTGACCAGGGGTTGGACCCCGTTCTGATTGATGTCTTTATCATTGACTGTCCTCACGATGTGCTTCGCTGCATTGCCAGACACTTGGCCAAAGGAGGATTAGTCTGTGATGAGTGTTTTTCCATTCCATGTTTGTTTTTCTTTCAGTATAGGCACAAGCGAGTCACTCTGTATTTTATTCTTTATTGTTTAAATGCTCAAATGTGGCAGATACTGTCAGTTTTAAGAAATCTTGCTCAGTGATTCATGTTTGCACTGAAACTCATGATTGCACTGGCGATATTAAAGGGATAGTTCACCCAAAAATGAAAATTAAGTCATTAATTACTCACCCTCATGTTGTTCCAACCCCGTAAGACCTTCGTTCATCTTCGGAACACAAATGAAGATATTTTTTATTAAATTTGAGAGCTGGATCACTGCTACATAGGCTTCCTAAGGGAGTGAAACTTGACGGCCCAGAAAGTCATTGAAGAAAATGTTTAAATAGTCCAAGTGACTACAGTGGCTCAACTATAAGTTTATCAAGCGACGAGAATACTTTTTGTGTGGAAAAAAACAACAAAAATAACGACTTTTTCGACTATTCCTTTTCTTCCTTGTGGGCCTGAGAGGAGAGTTCAAGAGATTTCCACGACGCATGCGTGAGAACTGAGAAGAGGA